ATCAATATACCAAATGATATTTGTGGTGATCATCTTCCATCATTTCATCAACTTTACATTGCTTTTTGCTAAGTTCTCAATAAAAAGCACAACTGAAGGTGAATAGAATGTGATGTGATGTTGCACCGTTGAATAAAGCGAACAGAAACTTTAGAAATTTACAATTAGCAAAAAAAGCGAAAAGAATTTGCGCTCACTTATACTATCTTATTGAATCAGTACAATCTACTTATGGATTAATGATTAATCATTCATACAAATCTATCATTCATTTTCGTTTGAGTAGAATCACCGCACCACTTCGCATTATCCCGACGGCAAAACACAATTTAACAAGTCTCTGAATTGGCCTTGGTTTATATCGCACTCTAATGCGTTCATGTGTTATACTTCAAACAAAACTTTGTTCACGATACCTCCACTCGAGAATCTTTCAAGATAATTTGATGCTCTCGTATCATCAACAAGGTTATCAATATGACACTCTTAGGTAAACCATCTCGAAGCAATAGTGAAAGATAGTTCAACAACAAATAAACTCATCAAAACACACATATTATAAATATATAAAAATTTATTACTCGCAATGTTTAATGTCAGAGAGAGTTTAATGGATTATAAAATTAAATCATGGAATATAATACAATTGCAATAACTGGAAAAGACAGTTCAGAAGAATATAAGGTTAAATCAAGCAGTATAATACAATTGATTGCTGTGCTTAGAAAAATGAAATGATAGAAATAATATTCAGGTATATGGATTATAACGAAAGAATAAAACTGAAGTACAGTAAATGATCACTCGGATACGTCAACACATTCACTCGTCGGTGAAAAAAACACAAATGAGGGTAAATTACATTTAAAATTACATTTGAATTAGCTGTGAAAATTATATTTAAAATGTCAATGCGATAACAATTTTGTTTTGCCGTAGAAACATAACAAAATGCTAACAATAAGTTTTAATAGAACAATGCAATAACAGCCAAAGAAAGTGTTAATGTGATGACATCTGATAAAATTGTTAGGCTTATCAATCGCAATCTTAATCAACAAATGATGAAACAGAACAATAAATTCAACAATAAATTATCTTTTAATTTTAAAAAATTAAATGGTAATTATTTCAATAATTATTTGACAATAAATTCTCATTTAAAAAGTGAAATGATTATTTAACAAAGCTGAGAATTATTTAACAAATAATGAATTTGATTTTTTTCTATCATTCAAATATTTTCATCTCAGACACTTACTAAAACAATAAATAAATTAAATGTAAAGGAATTGTTAGCATGGTAAGACTGTGCCCGACAAGATTTTGGCAGTGAATTATTAATTGAAAGTAAAAATTATAACCGTAATGCTAAACCTTAACGACTCAAAATCAATTCAACAAATTGAATAACAAAACAAGGAAAACACCAAAAAAAATTTTGATGCAATTCGAATACTAAAATTTTGCAATTCCACTTGCTTATGATTAAATTATATACAAGAGAAACACAAGGACATTCAAAGTGAAATTGCTTTTTTTTACAAAACGGTATGATCGATACTGCTCAAGAAATTTTGAAAGTCCTTCGAAGCAGCACTCAACAAAGATAAAAAGATGACTGAATAAGTTTACGTGACAGCATATTTACTACGCTTCCAAGTGATGCAGCATTTGATGGTTTGCAGATGAGGTGAACGCAATCGGACTACGCATTGAAACGACAATTGCTCAATGGTTTATCCGCATAACCCAGTTGAGCGTTTAGTTCTTTAAGATCCATTGGAGCTTTCGCAGCTCCTTCGCTACCCTCCGAGATGTCGCCACTGAAATTGCGGGCATCGTGAACATATCCATTCATTATTCTATTCACTAACAATCACAACCCCTTCAACTACGTACTTTCCCTACCAAAGTTCATACTAAATGAAATGAATGTAACAGTCAAAGGCTAACAATTGCGCCACGAAATTATTCTGTCCACGAGTTGCCATTCGATCCGCGATAAAGATCGGTGCTGGTAAGGAAACTGCCGAATTCACGATCTGATGATTGAACGCTAACGCAAAAACGATCGCTTGAATCTCGTCATTCGACATCTTCGACGTATCGAACAGTTTCGTATATCTCGGCGTTTTTGCTGTGCCCTATCACAATACATTACGTTCAATATTATTACTTCGTTATTGTTTTTTTCTTCATACTATCAGCACTGTTAATGTTATCACTGCTATCAGTATCAATGCAACTTGCAAAAATTACTTTCCTTCGCAATAATATTCAGCACCCAGATTCCAAAACTCTTCAGCCAAGAAGAACAATTTCAGTGGATGAAGAAATCTCACTGATTGTGAGGAAACTACCAATTTTTTTGAAAAGTTCACGTAAGTCAGCAAAGACAATCCATATGAATGATATCATTTCAGCGAATTTTTAGAAAATGAAAATTTCTAAAGCACATTCCATGTGATCATAATCAATCAGCGCTCAAAGGGAACAAATAAATGGCCTCAATGGTGTGATTCATTTCAAATATTATGAATACAACTAGCAAAACACAACTAAAACTTACTTGAAACGCTGAATGCGAGTTCAGATAAAATTCATTGAGAACTGGACTGACGATATGCTTGTCCACTACTGTTCCTGGTTTAATATTCTGCTCACTCGCTTTATTAGTTCGTGGAATATCCTATAAAACTGAATTCGATTACAAAAACAAACTTTGTCTTCGTGAAATCATAAAACATCACTTCCTTCTTATCTCGTTATAATTTCTCTTAAGCATTTTATACAGGTTTCTGCTTTCTTTTGATTCATTACTTTTCATCAACAACACAAACACACACACATCTGTCTGTACATTTATGTACAAATTATAAATGAATACGATAAAATGCTTCCAATCCCTCCTCCAAAGGCATTTCTAGCTAACAATAAGAAAGCTCATTTACTGATGGTCGATAATTCCTTTCTGTGTATGGTTTCGCCTTTATTTATACCCTTGTTTTGGCTCTATATGGAGCGTACAACTGCTTTCTTTGTTGCAAAAACATATACATTTATGACCATTCTTTGTGTTTACGTTGAATCATCTGACCTATCGTTAATCTCTGTTCACTTCAAAATAAGCCCATCCATATCGATATCATCATCATATGTACATCAATGATGATCTTTATTATGCAACTTATCTTCAGTCCAATCATGTGTAATATGGTCGCCAGATACATATCTATCCATCCCTACATCATTTATTTTATACCAAATAGTCACTCTAATTTTAGCAGTATTTCAGTTCTCTACTTTCTTTCGATTCTTTTGATGATAGCATTAAGCTTCTTAACTTATCATCACTATATACGCGCGTCTCACAACGTTCGTAAACTTTTGTTTATCTTATTAATTCATTGTTACCTAACATTAACACAACACCGCTAATTACGGCTCAAGTTTTAGATTTAATTTCATCAACGCAACAACAACAACAAAAAAACAACAACAAGAAAAAATTGAAATGTTTCGAAACCCAATTTAAAAAATATCTATAAGCAGCACATCAATAAGTCGCTATTTATGAGTTGATTGAAATGAAACGGTAACGTAAAAAAATTAAAAAACTGAATGAGCGAACAAAAAGAACAATTAAGAAACCTTTTTGAAGAGACGTAAATTATGCATTTTCGTTGCAACTACGAACGTAATATGTGGGCGATAAGCATTACCACCGATCTGACCGCACGCACTCTTCACTTGCTCAACTTCGTTCTGGATCACCTTCAATATGCCTCTCATTCCATCCCAATTCTTTTTTCAACACCATTCATATTGAGAATTCATAAGGAAAACTGATATGAATATTAAACTCTATTTTTCCGAGATGCTAAATGAAGAATGAAGCAAAAATAAATCGCCTACATATGTGTACTGTCCTTCTGAGATACCATCTCTCAGTAAAATAATATGATTCGGTAGAATGTTACGATTCTCTTTGAATTTTTTCATTGATTCCACCATTAGATCAGTAATTGTTGAATCTGCTATCTGCAATAAAACGCTTTTCAAAAAATATCAAAACTTCGCAAAGAATGTAAATATGAAAACGAAACCTTTTCATATATGACCATCAAAATTTATTTTCTGCACTACCTCAATCTAATGATTACCCTTTCGAAAGAAATTCACTCAATTAGGCATATTTCGGAAGGGTATTGCGATAACATGCAAGGAATTTTAAGAAGGTACACAACATTACTGATATCCAGCTCGAAACCGACCGGTATACCAATATCATTGATGTTGTGGGCCTGAGCCAGGCTTATATCTATTATTTAGGACGGTGCTAAGTCAACGCTCAATATCTTAACTAAACGTGAACAGAACCGAAAAACAAAACCTCCTCTTGATTCGCTCTAGCGTAACGATATCCACCAATAAAGTCCAATGGATGCTTCTTACAGTTCGATGAATACCCAACAATCGAGGGCACCAAATTCTCCTCGTCTCTTCGTCTGTTAATCGCTGGCGGATGAGCCACATCCATACCAACAATGATACGATTCGGATTCATTATGCTTTTTTGAGCACTTAAATTGTTCACCTCATCGCCAGTTCACACACTCATCATTCTCAATTATTCCAATCGCAACAATCACAATTGTGATAATTCTACTATCAGTGATCATATGAAATGCCACTAATAGTAATGACCATAATAATAATGACAACAAAAATACTAACGATAAAATATGATATAAATGGAATAAAATGCAAAACTGTGCGCCGTAATAGATTCAATCACTGACCCTTCCGTCTCCAAACGTAAACCAAAGTTGATACCACCAAGTTTCAGATTCACTTTATTGATGATATTATCAAGTGTTTGCCATCTCTGCGGTGCTTTAACCGCAGTACTCGTTTTAAGGTCAAGTGTCACTATCTGCTCACTTGCTTCCAGCAATTTCATACGCCCTATAAAACAACGCATTTTCAACTGATTACTTCGTGCTATCTGATTACGGTTCTTTTGAATTATAAAGAATGAATAGCATAAAAAAGCTTTGCTGTTGTATGTAAATAATTTGTTGTTCTTTACGTATAGTCCTCTCTGAATCATAAAAAGATAACGCATGTATGCATGTCAGTTTTACTCTCTCAGCACGCTTTCGATTGAACACAATTGAAGACTGTAAGCTGACTGTGTACTATTCGCTTCAACAAAGTGAAAAAACAACGTTGCAGTCAGCATCATAAGCTATCAACATTCCATTCGTTCGCTCATTCGCTCTCATCGTAACCGAATACTCTCCGCACAGCAAATCAATCGTACCGAATATTCAAATTGCTTCAAAATATGTTTTGCTTACATCTCTCACTTACATATAAACAATTAAAATCATCAATAAACCATCTGTTGGTTTACAATCCAAAGTAAACTCCATTTGTCGCTCTCTTACATCTCACCCTAACAGTAAAAGATAGAACAGTAAAGGTCACATCGAAGTATTCCTCAAATCAATAGTATTTTTACAAATATGAGTTCTATTCGAGCAAACAATATAAGACAGATGCAAAATACGATAAATTGAAAACTGCCGATAAATTGAAAATTGTCACTGTGAACAAACCGTGGAATAGGAGTTTATCACTAGTGATAAAATGTACGAGTTTTGCACCCATTTGCTTCGCTTTATTCATGTGCACATCAACTTGATTTTCGGTGGCACCACGGACGTAGAGTTGTGCGATTGGTTTGCCTATTTGCATACCGTGCTGACGGCATTGCTGTATGAATGCGTTCACATACGCTCTGAAATCCATATTCAATCGCACTCATTTGCGCATATCCAATTTTATGCAAATTCACTCGGATCGGATTCAGAAAGAGTTTTCAAGGCGAAATGATACAACGATAAATTTGCCAAACTTCCACAGAGAGCATTAATCAAATCAACAATCCATACTCCTGTTGTGGCTCGTTGAAGCCTCGTTCCGCTGAACTCACCAACGCCACACAATACCATCGTTCACAACTGGCCGGATACAAATAAGTATTTTTGGATGCAATCCACGACGTCTGCAAAATGATGCTAATTTTAATGCAATCACGATTTTAATTTCATTATGATCCGAAAAGATATCACTGCGTTTCGACTACAAAACAACTTTTGACATAACTTAAACAAATAGTAATAAGCCAGAAATACCTCTATATTACTCATTAATAAATCAAGTTTCTAAATTTGAACATTCCACTGGAATTAAACAAACGAATCCCAATGAATTATTGTTTGGACTGACACGCTCAGGATTGACGGGCGTTTTCACATTACGTCCATATTCTATTTGAGGAGATGGCAGCACACGTCCTTCCAACTGCAACAAATGATATTACCCCTACTGATGACGAGAACGACAAAAATAATCTCGAAAGTGACAGAAAAATTTGAATTGTTGAATAAATAGAACGATGGGAAAAACATGTAATAAAATAAATTTGGTAGAATCATCAATGAGATTCAATTAACCAATCAAAAGCGAATTCAAACAAACACACCGCCAGATTTTTCGTGATCTTCACATTGTATTCATCGAACCATCGATTTTTAGTGGCACCGTCCAACTTTAATGCTTGTGTCATTATACTCGTTTGACGTTTACGATCCGATGGTAATGCAGCACATGCCTGCAAACCTACCAATGAATGCAGTTATCACCAATAAATCAATCACAAAAGTGATTCACTTCAAATTTTTGTTTTCCTCAAAGTCATCTGCTCAGTTGTTTTCCAAATGTTTCCGAAAACTTTCAAGGTGATTAGCAACAGTGATCATCGGCGCTGTTTCTTCAATATCTACAAATTTATGCACATTGTTGTTTCATTCAGTGAAATTTCTCGCTGATTATACTAATCACGTTTGGATGCACACAATCAAAAGTAATACAAAAACAAACGTATGTGACATCAACATAACAAAATAAACGAACAATTAACAAACGTGCAATGAAGTGAATATAAAAACAAAAATGAATAATCGATAAACAAATAGAAAACGAACAGAAATCATTGCTTGTATTTGCTCGGATGATTGCTGTGTTTGTTTCACTCGTTGATTCTCGCAAACCACCAACAACTCCATCGGATAATAATTCTCACCGCTCTCACAACGCTCAATGATTAACGGTAACCTTGCAAATTTNAGTGCAATGCCGACATTCGTTTTGAAATATTCCGCCACTGATATTTTCTTCTTTTGCTGATCTTTGCCAACTACGTCGAACCTGAATTGATCACTTGATATTCCACAATAATTTGCTGGCTGGCTGACATAGTTTTCTGATCACATCACCTTTCCGTTATATCTCACAAGATTTTCTTTAACACTGTAAAAACTGATGCGAGAACTGATACTTAAGAGACGTATTTCTGTTTTAGGTATGTCTCCATGAATAACTACTAAAATGAGAAATAACAAAACTGCACAAACAAATGAAAAAAATTCATCAAAATCAAACGGTAAAAAGTAGTAGTGAAATAATCGCAGCTTAGTGATTATTCTCATGATATCACGAGATATCAACTGAATGTTTCGGGATAAATCAATAAAACACAAAACCAAATCAACGAAATTTTTTCGTTGATCTTGAGAAAGTATCAAAGTATCAACACTAAAGATACCAACCGCATTTGATCAGCGTTCTGTGTGCATATGTTATGGATTTTGAATGTCCTATGTTTTCCATAAATACAGCGTACATAAATACCTAAACAAGGAATCCTTTTAAAAGTTGTTTTTTTCTAAAAACGCGATCGACGAACCTCTAGCAGAAGCATAATCTGATGGCAAACAACTGT